CGTGGCCATGGCGGGCACTGGGGCGGAGGCTGCCGTTCTGGGTCGGCCTGGGCTTGCCTGTCTTAGCCGGACTCACTTGGAATCCCAGACACCAGCTTCAGGGGCCTTAGCACACGCACAGCCCTCAAAGTTCGCAGGTCGAAGTCAGTCCCGGCCGTGGCAAGGATCCTGGCAGGAATAAGGAAAAGAAAGGAAATGTTTCCTGGCTGAGTCTGGAAGAGAACGCACTCCTCCCGCCACAACTACGCTTCCCCCCAGGAGCACCGATGCCATCATCCCCGTGTCCCCTCTGTCCAACCACAGGGCCAGTGCTAGGACGGGGCTTGCTAAGGGCAGACAGGTACAGAATCCGAAAGCCTCACCGGGAACACTGCGACTTCTACACGCAGCACCGTCCATCCAGTTCTAAGGCACCCTCTCTGAGGGGCACTTGGCCCCTGGCCTGGAAATGAGTCTGTTTTCCACCTGAGTCCAAATCTGAACCAGATACCCATCCACCCCCAACTGTGTTTTGTGCTGCTCATGAGAGGTGGCGAGTGCGAGCGGCCGGGCAGAGCCCAAACGAGTGCCACGTGCCACCACCCTGTTCACCTGCTCTCAGAAGGATGGGGTGGGGGTGGCCATGCAGGGGCAGGGAAGGTAGAGAAGAGGGTACAGAGGACTCAGGAAAACCATCATAAAAGACATTCCAATACCTCCCATCTTTACTTTTTTCAAAATTTATTTAATTATTTAATTCTATTTGTTATTATTATTTTTTAAATTTGACCAAAGAGAGACAGAGAGAAAGGGAAAGTAAGAAAATAAGCCACCAGGTTCGGGATTCAAACCACAGTTAGCCACATGGGAATCCAGCACCTTTAACCACCATGCTACCTGCTGGCCCCAATACCTCCCATCTGAAAACAAAAAATCCTGAGAGGGAGGAGTACACCTCCAACCACAGAGTATTTCTCTCTTCACATCAAAACCCATCGAAAGATGCTTGATTTCTCTACTTCCTTAACTTGTGGCCTCTCTCCAGCTGTCTTGAAGTTCTTACCCCCAACTCACAATGAAATGCCACACCAGGCCCTCCTCTTGCTGATTCTAATATCAAGTATTCTTTTTAAATAGTATCATCTCAGGACCAGCAGTTAGTGTAATGGCTATGTCTCTGGACTCCCATGTAGTCAACTGTGGTTTGAGTCCCAGACCCAGTGGCTTAAACTCATGCCAGGCACGTGTGCGTGCATGCCTAAGATCCCGAGAGGAGAATGGAGGAGAAGAGACTGCGACGTGGCCATCCTCCTGGGGGGCGGGGGGGCGATTTCTCACTTTCTGTCTGTCTCTGTCTGGCAAGCACACACGCCCTATAGCAAAAACCTCTCAAAAATAAAATAAAATAAATTAAAATAAAGAAATAAATAGTATCATCTCTTGCCTTTAGTGTTCTGCTTTCCTCCAAGTTCCTACGGCCTCTTCTTTGGTCTCTTTTGCCAGTTTTTTCTCCTCTATTAGACTCAAAAATTGAATGTCCCATATAGGAACATTCCATATAGAATCTACCCAACAGCTTTGAATACAACTGTACACCTATAACTCCCAAGCTGACATCTTTAACTCTGACCTGGTATTGCAGGTTCATATACACAACTGCCTTTTAAACATTTCCATTTGGAGATTGTGTGTGTGTGTGTGAGTATATAGCATTATACAACTAAATAATTCTTTTTTTTGAGAGAAAGATTTTTGCTATAGAGGGCATGTGTACTCGCCAGAAAGACAGAGAGACAGAGAGACAGAAAGTGAGAAATCACCCCCCTGCGGGGGATGGCCACACTGCAATCCTTTCTCCTCCATTCTCCTCTCGGGATCTTGAGCACACACGCACATGCGCCTGGCGTGAGTTTAAGCCACTGGGTCCGGGACTCGAACCGCGGTCGACTATATGGGAGTTCAGCAACTGAGCCACTATGCTTACTACTGGTCCCAATCATTCTTTTTTATCTTAACAATAGTACTAAAAACGTGTGCCTTTTTAAAACCATGAACCATGTCTTTACATTCAGTTGTTACATCACAGTGACAAAAGTTTTTCTGATTCTTACTCCCAATCTTTCTTTCCCCAAGTGCCCCAGCCTAGTACCCTCGGTGAAAGAATGGTACTAGTCAATATGGCTTGGGCCAGAATCGGTTTCAGCCCTGACTCCTCTCTCTTTCATACTCAGCCGTCCCATTTGTCAACAGTTCTGTTATCTCTACCTTTAAAGTATATCCAAGATTCTTGGTGGAGAATTCCTGTGCTCCCTGCTCCAAGTAAAAGGCAGTGAGAGACAGAAGCTGAGAATGAACTGCTGCCAAAATTCAGCTAAATCTCTCAAGGGAAAAGAAAAGAATGGCAGGAACTCTTTAGTCAAACCAAAGTGCCAAACACACCAGAAACTCTGACTGAGGGAAATACCCAACAGAGTCAACGGCTGGAGGACAGATGTCGTTCAAATGGAGTCAATAAACTAGTAAACAAAGCAGGTAGACACAAACGGACATTAAAAATTAACTGTAAGTCTTGGCAATAAATAAATACTGGGTGGTCAGAAAAGTCATGACACATTTTTGCAAAGAAAAATACGTCATGACTTTTCCAGTAATCCAATAGTTTTGAAATAACATCAATAATAGTCATAATAATGAGTCACACTCTAGGCTGGAGGCATGGCTTCGTCAATGACTTAGAAGATACTGCTAACGCTAGGACTAAGAAGTTCACCCACAGACATCAGAAAGGCCAAAAATAAGAGATGTTAGGCAACATAGAGATTAGACCAGAGATCTAATACTCATAAAATCTGAGTCCCAGGAAAAGAGAACAGATGGAATGGTGAGGGAAATTTTCAGTTGTGACATTTCTAGAATTAAAGGCATGAATTTTCATATTTAAAGTGTACTACCTTGGGGCTGGCAGGTGGCATGGCGGTTAAGGGCGCTGGACTCCCACATGGCTGACCATGGTGAGTCCCGGATCTGGTGGCTTGCTTTCTCACTCTCTCTCTCTTTCTCTCACTCTGTCCCTCTCTGATTAAATTTAAATAAAGTTAAATACAATAATTCTTCAAAAGTAAATAAATAAATAAAGTGTGCTACCTTTATCAACCAGTTGGAAAAAATAAACCCATAGCTAGAAACAGCATAAGGGACTGCATACCATCTAATAAAAATACAAGGTCTTGGGACCAGCAGTTAGCGTAATGGCTATGTCACTGGAATCCCATGTAGTCGACTGCAGTTCAAGTCCCGGACCCGGTGGCTTAAACTCACACCGGCCGTGTGTGCGTGCGTGCCCAAGATCCCGAGAGGAAAATGGAGGAGAAGGGATTGCGGCGTGGCCATTCCCCCTGAGGGGTGATTTCTCTCTTTCTGTCTCTCTGTCTCTTTCTGTCTGGCGAGCGCACGTGCCCTATAGCAAAAACCTCTCAAAAGAAAAAAAAAAAAAAAGAAAGAAACAAAGAAACAAAGAAAACAACAACGAAAGAATACAAAGTCTTTTAAAAACTGTTGGGGGACCAGCAGTTGGCATAATGGCTATGTCGCTGGACTTCCACGTAGTTGACCACAGTTCGAGTCCTGGACCCGGTGGCTTAAACTCACACCAGACACACATGTGTGCGTGCCCAAAATCCCAAGAGGAGAATGGAGGAAAAGGGATTGCGGCATAGCCATCCCCCTGGGGGGTGATTTCTCGCTCTCTGTCTCTCTGTTTCTCTCTTTCTGGTGAGCACACGCACCCAAAAGTTCACCTTCTCAAAAATATATAATAAAATGGGGCCAGTAGGTGGCGTGGTAGTTAAAGGCACTGGATTCCCACATGGGCAACCATGGTTCGAGTCTCAGATCTGGAGACTTGCTTTCTCGCTTTCTCTCTCTCTCTCTCTCTCGGGTCAAATTAAAAAATAATAACAAATGGAATTAAATAATACTTTAAATATATACATATATATGTACTACAAGATAAATGAAGGCTAACACTAAAGGAACAACAGGAAAACAACTGTCTTCTTAAAACTTTATATCCAGCTAAACTGTCAGTAAAAATTGAGGGCAGTGGTGTGTGGAGGAGTGGGGACTGGGGAAGGGCATCTGGAGGAGGGATACAGGGGCAGAGCACTGATGGGACGGGGAGGTGTGGTGTAATCTGTTGAAGATATTTTGAACAACTGGACTGGGAAGAAATATTCACATATTGAAATGTTCACTTTGTAAGCTAATTAATGTGGCTGAATGTATAAAAATTTTAAAATAAAAGATTTAGGGCAAAATAAACATACACTTAGATATAAAATAAGTCATCATCACTTCAGGTCCTCAGTAAAATAACGAGTAAATTGAAACCAAAGTAAATACACAACAGATAAATGATGGTAGACAGAAAATAATTTTCATTTGTTTGTTTTTGTTATAGGGCACTTATGCTCACCAGAGAGAGAGAGAGAGAAACCATCCCTCAGGGGGATGGCCACACCACAATCCCTTCTCCAGTCTCCTTTTGGGATTTTGGGCATGCATGCGCACACACCTGGTGTGTTTCTCAAGCCACTGGGTCCAGGATCCTAACTGTGAAGGAGGTCGGGGGACAGCCATGCTGCAATCTCTTCTCCATTCCTGTCATGATTTTGGGCACACAGGCACATGCACCTGGCATGATTTTCAAGCCACCAGGTCCGAAACTCAAACCGTGGTCACCCATGTGGGACTACAGCATCTTAGCCACCATGCAACCTGCTGGCCCTGAAACCATCTATTTCAAAATGAGCAGAGCAGAAAAATGTGTATGAGAAATACGAAATACAGAATATTTTATCAATCTATAGAATTCAGAAAAGCTCCTCCCTTGGGCCAGCAGGTGCATGGTAGTTAAGAGCTGGATCCCACATGGCCAAAAGTATGGTTTGAGTCCCAGACCCAGAAGCTTGAAAAACACACTGGGAGCATGTGCATGCATGCCCAAAATCCTAAGAGGAGATAGAGAACGCATTGCATGTGGCCATCCTTCCGAGGGGTGATTTTTCACTTCCCTTCTGTCTCTCTCTCTCTAGCGAGCACACCTGCCCTATGGTCAGAATCTTAACAAAAATCATTTAAACATTTCTCCCATAAGAGAGAGATACAGAGACACAGACAGAGAGAATGTA